TCCAGAGACCTTCAGTCCACCCTCCACAGCAAGCAAAGAATTGCTACATTTTCAGCAATGCTTTCTGACCTACTGCCAGTGTGTTTCCAGCTGGACTCTAAAGGCAGTCCCAGAAGCAATGCTAACAGCAGTATTCAAAGCCAAAAGTGCAACCAGATGCTGGAGATGTCCTCATCTGAGAGCAACGGGCAAGTGCAGACTTTCAATAAAACATAAAACTCAGACGCATTATCACTCTGAGTGTATCATGGGCGAACAACCTTGGGAGAAACAGAATTTTTCAGACAGAGTTCGTGACTCATCTCTGGCATGGACAAATTCTATTAGCCTTACTGCACACATCAACTAACTGTAAGTCTATGAAAAGCCATTACTTACACATGAGCTAAATAACAACAAATGTGACCAAGGCTCTAGATGTATCACACAAGTTTAAGTGTGCGATATAGCCATAAGACTTGGCAGATACCATTAGGAATAATTCCAAGGGAGTACCGTGCCATAGCATCCGAGCGTCACCAAAGATCAGTCCTGCCCACACTAAAATGCTCAAAAGCAGGAGAAGCCACGAGCAGCAGGACAATCATCTACCAGACCCCAAGCATCACACTGTCCTCTGAGGGAAAGGCTACTCTCGTGCACAAGCCCTGCTTACGTTCGGAGAGGACAGCCAGTAGATCTCAGCAGGTAGGAGCTGAAACTAAGAGATCAGTATGTACTTCACAGCTGAATGTCTAAGAATAGTAGGGGCACTCATTAGCAACAAAGACCCGATTGTAAGTGTACGCACAATAGCACAAGGCGCTGAAAATAGAGACTGCCTGAGAAAAGGAGGGCTCCCAGCCTCAAGGAATCTCAGTTAACTCTCCGAGACCTAAACCGGCCCAATTCCACACAATGGAGCTATATTCCTTTGCCACAGCACACAGCAAATCTCCCATTCAGCAACCAGAATGTTTAAAGCATGCTCCAGCAAGAACCGCAGTTAAAGCAGGCCATAAAAGCTATGGCATCCTAACAAGCTATCGTCAGAATGTGGCCACAGTACCCTGCAACAGAAACCCCACTTGTACAAGCTTTTCAGTCACTTGACGTGATGCCTACCCCCTAGACAACATAAAGCAGAGACAGCAAAGAAACTGTTGACAAGCACACACAAAATACCTACCGAACTAGGCTGGACCATTGCAATAAAGCCTCATGAAACAAGCAGCGTTGCGGATCTGGAATGGAGACCTAAAAAGGAAAGTCCTGTTTTCTCTGACAGCGTGTCTTGTGCTGCCGAGGTGCAGCACAGAGGACACAGGCAGCCGGCCCAGAGCAGCAGTCTGCTGCAACGGAACAGTCGATGACCTGAGGCCACTGTACACAGCTGGGAGGCTCCGGGTAAAGGCCAGGAGCTAGCCTCACAGACAGGACAAAGCCCAAGGTGCACTGGAAACTTCTCAGGCAGCAATAGCTATCATTGTAAGAAACAAGCGGAGGCAAATCTGAACATAATTCGGGGAAAAAAGAGCGCACTGCCAGCATAAGTCCATAGACAGTGCTGAGGGCAGAGCCCCAGCCAGCAGGTAGGCTAACACAGGAGAACTGCTCAGAAAAGAGGACTGGAAAACTGAAGACACTGAACTGGAACACAGGCAGAAGCCACAATCTCAGGTAGGCCGCACACTAGTGAAATTTTGGCTTCAACATGTCTGTTACAACTTGTACGAGATGATGCTTTTAGTAGTTATTAAAAGACAAGTCACAACAACTTAGAAGGAAATTGGAGAGAAAAGCACAAAACGCAGGACAGGAAAGTCTGGAGAAAGCACAGGAACGTACTCTGACTGAACTGCAGTGGCAACATCTTTGTAGGTAACTCTTAGGAATCAACTGCCTTTTTCTAAGTCAGTCAGTACAGCCAGCAAACACACACGGTGTAAGCCAGACAACCTTGGCATTGGAGATCCATATATGTAATGTACACGGGGCCTGGGACATTGGGAAGAGCAGTCAGCAGAAATCCAAGAAAAGGGCAACAGCCTGCATTCTAATTTAGCACACCCTATACTGTTATTTACACTGCTGACGCATTATTTATAACCATGGATTGAACCCTAGACCTATGAACAACACAAGTCACCTACACAGAACAGCCTCGGCTTTTAGGCTCTGCACATTACACTGATTTTACGCCCATGCTGAACACCAACCTAAAATAAAATAAATCACTTCACCACTTACTCTCATTGTGGAATCCACACTCCTTGCCACTACTGGATTTCAGTCAGGATTTCAGAGGAGCCATACCCAGTTCAGGCTAGTATTTGGCACACAGTACTGTGCGTGACTTCAGTTAGCAGAATTCGTAATTGCTTTATTTTCCCAGCACACTGCCAGCATTAGTGCTGCTCGCTGTCTGCATTTGGGCCCGATAGCTCAGCACTAGGCGACTGTTATCGCTCAGACACGTCAGGATTAGTGTTATCCATGTGCTAACAGTCACTTGCAGAACAGAAACAGCTGGTGGCTGCACGGAAGACCTTCTGGTGTCAAAACCCCTCCCATTTGCTCAGCCTGCTCTAGTCTTTCGCTTAATCCAAACGGGGGGCTCGCTTTGTCCCCCTCCTTCCTCCAGACCAAGATTTATCTCATTCAGCAGAGTATTTATTCATCAGTTTAACATTTTCGCTGTGGCAAAGCGAGGAAGTGACCTTTTCCTCCCTTACCTTTCTTCCCCGAAGCCATTCACTGTTAACACAGGAAGGCTCTTCCCTCAGGGAGCGAGCCCCGAGGACGCGATGACCTCGCGTGGCAGGCCCTGCACATCGCTTCGCCATCGCCCCCGGCCACGGCGCCTGCAGCACAGGTTTGGCCATCCGTTTTTATTTCCAGATTACAGTTGTCCTAAATTTCGTTTCCTCACAAATGGTGACAGTTTTCGGTGGCCACGTTTTTCAGTGGACTAACTTCAACACAACTGACGTGGCACTAATGGCTTTCAAGATGTTTTGAAACAAGTAAATAATTTCGATCGGCCATGAATCTGGGCCAGTGACCCCCCCCTCATAAGGACATCATAAGATTCCAGTGGGGGGGGGGGGGGGGAGGAAAATCTAAAGCCAGGTCTGCCTGCCTTCTCAATTATTTAACAGAGCACTTCAGACCTATAAAACAGCACAGAAGGCTGGGAGGATTAGTTAATATTGAAGATATCGGGACATACCAATATTTTAAAAATGAAAATACTGAGGCAAAGAGCAATTTACTCACAGTCACACAATGAGTCTAAACAGGAGCTGGGAAAACAGCCTGTGTGTCTCTACACCTAGCTATGCTGGAACCTGCTGGCAATAGCAATTGCACGCTGTTTCTTCCTAAGATATAACTTAATTGCTACTACATACATACTTCCCTGCTCTATGCTTTACAGTTTATGGTGAATTTCTCATGTGTCATTTTTATTTCACAAATAGATTCCTGGAGTTTTTAATTACTGGAAAAAGAACAGAATAATCTCTATACTAATCACATTTTATATACAATTGCATTACCGTGAAGCCTGCTGAAATAAATAGAAAACAATAGACATAAGTAACTGGCAGAAAATTACAGAAAATTGAGTTCTACCTACAAACTCGACTGCTGTTCTAAGAAGCATTTCTATTAAGACAACTTAAAATCCACTATACAGAAAACAACTACAAGGACTGAAAATAAAACGAGGCAATATTATGTCCATTGCTCACATGTGTACTTGCATAACAATTAAAACACTATAAATCAGTATTTTAATCTGTATCCTAACTGCAAAAAAATTAACAAAATCCGCATACCAATTTTGCTTCCCAGCCGTGATGACGCTTGATTAAAACAAGCAAGCATTTCTAGCCAGTTCTATCAAAGTGTCTCTTACCCAAGGGAAGAGAAAGGGACACGGCACTCAGAGACTGAAAAAACCTCATCACCAAACAGTAGATAGCAGTTCAGAAACCTTCTGTATCCCCTAGTAGGAAAAAACCAACACAACAATCCTGGTTTGTGGTAGCCTGGGAATAGATTTAAGCAACGAAAAGAATACTGACAGAGTTGAAAGTCTGAGGTGCTGTTAGAGCTGCGAGGTTCAAGCTGACACGCAGGCAGAAGAGCCTACAGACATCTCCACTTCGGTTTACGCTGCATCTGTCCTACATACAAATAACTGCAGCTTCGGGTACTTCAGCCCAGCTACTTTCAAAGCCCTAAGAAGCTCGGGGGCAGGTGGGGGGTGTGTTTTGGGTTTGTTGTTGTTTTTTTCTCCACAGCAATTAAAAACATTCTAATAATTGGTCATGACTTTGCTCCTTCAAACCCAAACTTGGCAGCTGAGAGGTTTTGTTAAGCTTTCTGGAATGGGATGCAGATAACCTGCCATAGAATTTCTGTACGCTCTGTGATGGGTTTAAAAAGAAGTCCTTATTAGAACTCAGACTTGTTTACTCCTTGGAACAAGCACTGTCATTCCAATTCTTATAATTAAATCCACAATTCTGACAGCTGAAACCATAGGAATAATTGCACTGTTAGTCAAAATAAGTTGTTAATGTTCAGACGGTTGCCAAAAATGTTTTCAGGGCTTCTACCATGTGCTTCGAGTAGATCTGAACATTCCACCTCACTTCATTTCTGGAGCAAAGACCTTAAAATCTTTTGTTTCGCTAGGCAATCTTGGAGTCCAAAAAAAGATTTTCAACCATATTATTGCTACATTCCACAAGAACATATTATACAAAACACTTCTACTGACCAGTAAATTGTACATATGATACGCTTTATATAATCCTGTGTCTCTATCCCATAAACTCATTTCCCACACATTAAAAAAGTCTGAAGCCAGTCACAGTGCTTCAGAGATCTTGGAGAACTTGTACACCAAACACACTGAGCATACATAATCTTAAATTAATCCATTGTACTAGTAATATATAACAGCAATCCGCAAGATTATTTTTCATGAGACAAGAGAACCAACACTATTAAGCATTGAAAAAAGTCTTTCCAACCACTTTTATTTTTTGGTCAACAGTGAGAGAACACCAGCACAATTCCAACCACGAAGGAAGACATTTCATTTCAAATTAGCAGGTAACAGGCACCACAGTAGACAATAAAATGCTTTACAATAAAATTTTGCATTCAAAAGCCAACTGTGCAATCATTCAGAAAGGCTTAAAGCAGAACAAAGCACAAAACATGGTACTTGAGATGTGTACCCTGTCTAGTTTATATTTTCTGCACCTGAAAGTGGCTCAGTAATATGACGCACTGGAACAGCAGCTACTCTACAAAGCTCTCCCCTTCTTAACACCAGATGAATGAGAAAGGACAGCCTACTTCAAGTATTGCAGTGTCTTGTATAAGCACCCAGAAGGCCCAGTTAGCAAATGGAGAAGCTGGAACAAAAGCAGGGAGCCACCTCTGACATCCAAAACGTGATTAAGGAAAGGTTTAGAAACACATCATTTACAGATGGAGGCCATTTGCAAAATTTTCTTCTTCCTTTTACCATAACCATCAAGCAAACATACTGCTCTACAGGAAAAGAGGACTTACCAAGAACAAACAGCTCTGTTTTATTAAGAACTTAAAAAAAAAAAAAAATTGGAACCCCCCCAACCATGCTCAAGAATGGAAAGCCTCTTAATATCCTTGTTTGCAGTGCAAAATTTAAAAAAAGACTAATTTGATATCTACAGAATTTCAGCCATATTTGAATTTAATTCAGTGTATTCTGTGTAGAACTTCACCTACCAAAATTGTCAGACAACATTTTTTCATACCTCACAATATAAAACTCCAAGTTATATTAAAATTCCCTCACCAACAAAAATGGGCTTTACTTTTTTTCTTCCTCGGAACAACGACACATCCATTACAAATCAATTCCACTAAAAAAAACACTCAGATCTAAAAACCCACTACCTTCTTGAAAATAAAACAGCTACTGGACACAAAATAAATTAAAAAAAATACAATAAAATACTCTAGAACTTATGGGTCTGATTAGAAACAGGAACAGTATTTGAGAACTCTCAGAGTTCTAGAATCTTCAGAATTTGTGTGTGTTACTTAATATAATACTGAACAAGCCTACTGAATTATTTAATAATTTCCCTAATCACAAAGTTGTTTTGTTCCTCACAGTTAAATCAACAGAATTGAGTCCTGCCTCTCCAGAGGCCCTCTATAAAAGCAGAAGCTGTACTTCAGACTTTGATCGCACAGATGTTTGGAACAGTTTGGACTCTGCCTGCACTTCAAAGAGAATTATAAGGTGCTCAAAAATTCTTTGACCTGCAAAAAGAAACAAATATTGTCAATCAAACTAAATATTTATCAACAGAAATATACAGCAACTACATTTACCTCTCCATTGCTTTATGCTTTACTGCAACCTACAGGAACAGGAACTGGAAAAAATAATCTTAGGCTCAGCTATGCCATTTCTTGTCCATCAAGAACTTTTTTCAGCCACAGTACCTATAATTTAGCAGGTGCGAAGAGAGAGTCATTGGAATGATGCTCATTCCTCCCATGGTCCTAAACTACAGCCCCACAACACAAATGAGTTATCTTAAAAACAGGTCTAACCTAAACATGAGGAAGATACTGACCACCCCGAAAGATCTCTCATTTGGAAAACACCAAGTCACAGCCACAACCAGCATACTGTTTGTATTTATCGTCAATGCATCTAATTAGTACGTTCCTTGGAATCTGAGGTTGGCAAATAAATAGTAAAATAATACCTAGCAAAACCATAGTATTTGAAAAAAATCTGATACTGTGGAACAATACCATCAATAGTTCAGCTACTGTTGAACTCCATTTCCAGTATTTCAAGAGTGCCTCAAATGGCTACAGCTACCTAAAAATTAATAATGAAGTTCTGGCCAACGGAACGTTATCCAGAACCCCGAGTCAGAAATCCATGATCCTACACAGAGCACCGAGACCCAGTACAGCACCTCAAATAATCCATGCAATTGCTTGAGAACTGGATCCAAAGCAGGCAGCATGCCAAGCAGCATTACACTTGTAAGTGCAGTCACTTAAGACAATGTCTTAAATGCCAGTCACTATTGAAGGCTGCAGGAAGACAACGTGCTGAGAAAATGCTTCTTGCCACAGGTATTCGTGCCTTTTTGTTGTGCCTCCTTCCCAAAAGAAAAAGAGTAATTACTACCCTCCCTTTAAATCGTGGAGGCAGGAAGAGGGGGCAGTGAGGGCCTGGCCACCTTTTTAAAAATATAACCCCCCAGAGGATACAAGAGCCAAAGAACACAAGGCCAAGGCACACAACTCCCATCTCTGTTTCAAGAGCATCCTGGCAACTACGCTGTGATATAAGCCCAACCTAGGAGCATTTTCCACTCTGTCCACTCAAGCTTGATTACTGCAGAGAAGGGAATCAACAGTTCACTAGAGAACATGGCGTTATTCTTTTGGCAGAGGCTGTCGTACACAGAGCACATCTGTAAACGTTTTGTCCGAATTCTGGATGTGAAATGGAAACACATCTTGGATCACATTCTCCAACTGTGACCCTTCCCTTTCAAGTTCAGGGCTCAAGGATGGGGAGGGCCGGAGGGAAGGGGTCAAATCCCCTCCTGTAGAGAAGGGAACACATAACTATGCCAATACCCTAACTTGAAAGACATCACGAGGAAGCCACCCTCCACTTTGGAAAGCAACAGAAGTAGGACTGCATGATGAACCTTCTCATGATTCACACACCAGCCACGGTTCCAAGATGGGTCTCTGACAGCGAGCATCACAAGAGAGGTGAGAAGGAAGCATACAGGTTTTTGGTGCCCACTGGACAGGAGCGTACACTGAAGGCTGACCCACCCATCCTCGTGACAAGTGCAGCAGTTCTGGGAGTCCACTTAAGAAATGCCAAAAAATAAGGCCAAGACATGGCTTAGGCTATTCCCAGATAACCTGACAGCTACACAGGAGTCAACTCCTCTGAAATCCTGAGTGAGGTGCCTGAGCTCAGCCTTATCTCACAGTGCAGATGGGAAGCGTATTAACTCCACAGCTGCAATGTCCAGTCATTCCATCAATTAACAAGCTTTAAAAAAGCAAATACCATGAGGGCTGGTTTTAATCAGGTGAACAGTTCCACTTCTCAGTGGATAAACTGAGATCAAAGGACAAAGCTGCTTTTCTCATGAGGTAAACAATCTACTTCCAAAGAGTGGAAAAATGTGCACATACCATTGCTAAGGTCTGTAACTTGTTGCAACTACTCAAATAAGTCAGCTGAATCCCATCAACATTCAAATACCAAGCACCCGAGCAGTTAAAACGCTGATGGTTTGGCATAGCTTTAAAACATATATTACACCTTTTTGTCCTAAGGATTAGATCTTGTCGCATGGAGAAACCTCAACTTGAATTCTTTTTACATGAAATCCACATTATTCTTCCACTCCTTCCAACAAAACTGAAAAATATTTATTATTTTTATTCTGCATTACTTCCTAAACAAAGTAGAAAGCTGCATTTGAAAAGCACTCCCAGAGTTTCACTGCTTTCGAGACAGATTTTTAATAACACTTTAACAAACGCAACTGGAGGGAAAAACTTTAATAATAGTGCCAATTTCATAAACAAGACTAAAAATAAGGAGTATCGCAGCAGGCTATAAATAGATTGTTCATTATATGAATGTAACTCCATGACTTCGATATTTCAGAAGGACGATTACACAGTGAAGTGTCTTCTTAGAGCAAAGGATCCCTATTTGCATGAGCTGTACTGCCCCTTGTTGTGACACGCTAACCAGAAGACAGGATAGCCCATACTCTTCTTTTGTTTAGCTGGCAATGTCTGCAGAGCCTAGTCTGCCACTGGCTCACTGCTTCGGATCACGCTTCAGCTGCAGGTTCAGTAAACTCATCCTTCAATTTCCCATTGTAACAGTTGAGTACTGTGTTTTCACAGCACCTGACACCCAAGTTCTTTTACTGACGAGCACTGTAGGTTAGGCACTTCCAGACCTAACACAAGGAAGACTTTACCCCTGCAATCCAACCTGGACCTGAGTAGCTTCTTTTTCTCTCCCTCAAGAGCCACCCTCTACCTCTCCCACCCCCATTGCATTTCTTAGGATGCCTGCACAATGTTAGAAGCAGGACATAGCAAATAATAGTTCTTTCAAGCAGTTAAGGGGTATTTAAATTAGAAATTATATTTGCAAACAAAGCAAATAGTGGAAGTCTTCTCAAATAAGCCTGAATATTTCCTTCTTTCTTTTTTTTTTTTTAATGGAAAATTTATGTAGGAAGTAACATGGACAACCACAGGTTCTAAGTCTAGTCTGACTTCAAAGAATGCTTCACTTTGAGATGCAAGAAGTGTCCTGAATTCATTTTGACATGCTGGCAATAAACCTAAATTGTCAGTTTGTTCTGTTTGTGAAATTTTACCTTTTCAGTCATGTGATCATATCTGTCCTTTTTGCCTCTGAAGTCTTCATTAACGTCCAATGTTAAAATAGGTATTTCATGTAGAAATTCAAAATCCGTTCTGTATGGGGATAGGAACAAAGAAAACATTACTACCTGAAAAAAAAAGAGAGAGCATACATCATTCAAGTCAGCATTTTCAGTGTTAAGAATCCCATGAAAAGAACTGCATAAATGACAGCCATGAATCCCAAATATAAAGGAGCTTGAATTTACAGTGTGGTTCCTAGAATATATTATCAGTTCTTGAACATTCTGTTCCCCCAGAACTTAATGTTCAATTCAACTGTGTATTAAAATTAGTACAGCTGAATCTTCTGCTATTCAGAGCTCCATGTTAAGAGAACTCAAGGCACGTTGCATGTCCTAGCAAAAACTAACATGCTGTAAAGCCAATACTACTAAGGAAGAACAGACAGAAACATTCCTTGAGGTCAATTTTACATATCACAGAAAAAGCTGAAGTTTCACTGGTAGAAATAACATTATGGCACATCCCCACAAAAATTTACCCATCTTTAAGTAACCCTACCGCAGTGTCCTATGCTGAAGCCAACTTTCATGTTTGTAATGAAGCTTCTCCAGATATTCAATGGGAATTTCTTGCTCTTCATCTCTTCCGCGCAAGTAAATTCTGTTTAAGCATTTCTAAAGGCAAAAGATATCGGGAAAAAAGAAAATTGATTGCTTTTGCAGACCTACGGAGGAAGACTAGTTTGCTGAAGTATTTTTTGCCAACCCTTCCTACCGTGCTCCATATGCCACTCTTTGCCAAAGGGGAATATTCAACTTGCTAACTATCTTATGAGCACAGAAACATTATTCCATGTTCAGCTGACAGAGCCCATGGACTACACACAAAATGAAAGAAACCCAAGGAAATGTATCGCATCATTTCACCACCACAAGGAAAGGTTTCAACTAAGCTCTTTATTAATGCAAGGGGTACCATTGTATTGCATGAAAGGAACACAGAAATAACCATTTGACATTACGGACAGGCATTTCAAAAACTCTTATTTCTGGCTCTTGAGAACCCAGTTTTCAAGTGTACTAAATCATTTGTTCCTGCTCTGAACACATCCAAAGCCTCAACAGCAAGCCAATCAAAACTGTTTAAAACTGTTGTACTTTGTAATTTAAATATACATTTGTGACTTAAAGAGAAAAAAAAAAAAAAGCCCTCAATAGCGAGCCTAGGGAAAAAGCCCTCAGAGAAACTCCAGCATGTTACATTACGTAGTTGTTAACAACAAGAAAGCTGAACGCATCAAAGTGGGAAGTAACGAAGTGTGGAATTGACCTGTGAGTTAATTACTGCAATTAGAGCTCTTCTAAACTCTAATGTTTTTCTCTTGTTCATGTAAGTCTCACATTCAAAAGATATATTCATTATGTTGTTCTCTCCTTTTAAAAAGTATTAGATGCCCCAAGATCAAAGCATTGTTATAAAGCCTCATGCACAGCAGGTGCATTCATCTGGCTTAGCTCCATTGCTCCAGGTCCAAGGGCTTCACACCCCCCCCAAATCAGCTGTGACATTAGCTAGAAATTGTTATAGCTACCACAGCAACATTCCTATAGCTATTTTGTACTTTTTTTTTTTTTTTTTTCCTTACAATGATATTTTCTGGTTTGCTCTTGTCATATATTCTGGTTTTGCAATTGGAAAATTCTTATCGTCATATGTTATTTAAAAATACACAAGCTACACTTGAAAGAACATTCTTTTTTAAAGTATTTCCAGGATGTGTTAGTCATAACTCAAGTATTGTATTCTTCAGGGGAATACTACAATCTGAACTGAACTCTAATCACTAGGACTCTCCCAGTGAAAGAGAAGGGTAGCTCAAGATTTTGAGAAGATGACATTTCTGTGAGAATTTCTCAGCTGTTTCCTTGCCCAAGACATTCGAAGCAATCTCTAAAGCAAAGATATGGTGATATATAATGACACACAATTGTGACCTTAATGGAGTTCACTGCAAGCACATTATTCTTTTATCATAAAAAAGGTCTAGAATCACCTACATTTTTTACATTTAGTTAAGCCCTACATTCACACCTACGTACATTTAGTGAAAACCTACATTTTCTTAAGAGAAAAATACTGTGGAAGCATAAACAAAGATCAAAATTTACAGGCAAGGTGTAGAACATGCACTCTGGAGGCAGTTAGAAGTTTTTATTCCTCACCTCGGGAGTGGCTCTGAGATAAATGATCCCATCAAGTGCCAGGCTTTGACTAAATTGCTTATTCATCCAGTCATGCCAGTCTTGGTAAATCGTCCATTCAGTTTCATTCATGCAATCAGACTCATATAAATTAGCTGCAAAAATGTATCTGTGAACACAAAATTGTTATGGAAACAAAAATTAGCTTGAATGTAGTCATTACTTTGTTGGCCTAAAGTACCGCACAGCAGCAAAAAGAGAAGCTGAGCATAGCAATTCTGTAACTTCTCTGACTTCTGCTTGGACTGGAGATAAGCAGCTGCTATCCCCATCCCATAGCACGTCCACTGCCGTTGCCCATAGCAGTGTCCACAAAAAGCAGAAACATTCAGAGCTCAGGTACCTGGTCAGGAATAATCTACAGACCGCCACTGGCTTGCACACTGTGGTCATTTATTCACAATATATTAGAACACAGTGAACACCTAAGGATTATGGGATGCGATTCAGTTATCCAATCTAACCTTCCAAATCCAGAAGGAGAGGGTACCGCAATATGAAATAGCTAGACCTGTTTCAGGAAGTGTAAAAGAAAACAAGTGACTAAGAAAGAAATCACTCTTGACTCTTCTTGATGACTACTCCCCTCTTTCCTTTGAAGGGAAACATGCATGCACAAATCATAAAACACCTACCCACAAAGAATGAGAAACTACATGTAGCTAATCCAGGTTATAAAACAAAGCTATAAACCCTCAGACTAGTAATTTTACTTCACTGACAACACCAGTGAGATAAAGATAACAAACCACTTACTGGGGTTATTGTGATTTTATGATGAAAGGAGGTACAAAACTCAGTCACACTCTGATCTGATTTTTACTTATTTTAAGAGAATTTTGATCTTTACTTTAAAGGACTTCAGCCCAACGTACCTGTCACTGTAGACGGATCGCTCAAAGAAGACAACAGGATTCTCCGCCTCTTTGAGTTTGCCACTGAGGGACCTGAGCTGAGCCCGGATCCTGCTGAGACACGCGTATGTCTGGAAAGTGAAAGACCACCTCTCTGGCTTGTCATACATCATCCCAAGCACATTTCCACCACTCTTCTGTGATTCGGTCAGCTCCTGGTTTTAAGCAAACACAGCGACCCTTTAAGTTGAGACGGAGGATGATTAAGGTAAAACAGAATTGCTCTACGACGTTAAAGCTGTTAAGCCTTTATTTCAGGTTTATAATTGTGTCATTCACCTCCCAACCCTATCTGTAATACAAGGCATAAATGCCAGTAATGTTATTCCTCCTACAGCACTTAACTGAATAAGCAACTACGATGCCACAATGCTAAAGTACCAAAACACTTTGATCAATATTTACAAGCTTTAATAAAAGAACGACATCTTAGCAGTACAAACACTCAAAAACACTGTAGAAAAATCCATGCTCCTGTTACTCTGACGAGTGTGAGTTGCAAGTTAGGCTCATTTTGGTTTTCCATCCATTAATTACAGTTAATTAAGTACATTAATTACAGATGATGCAGCAACTTAAGGTATGATTATGCTCTCACCTTACCTGGGAGGTTCAGAACAGACTGCAAGCAGGGCTCAAGCACCTCGAGACAGCCACTACAGCTCATGGAAACTAAAAGCTGTGTGCTCAGTTTAACTAGAAAACACAGTCTACTAGAGATGACTGCTTCAGTCTGAATCTTTTTGCTACACCAACACCAAATCCGAACACTGACATGTTTTTTAAAACCTAGAGACAGAGGTCAACACTTCGGTGATAGCAATTAAGATTCTGGAATCTGAGGTTTCATCCTCACCTCTCCTACCCTGCAACCGTGCCCAGCACCACACAGGGGCAGCCCCCCCAGCACTACACTCTCCCAGCCTCCATAAGGAAGTAGCTGCAGGCGGGGCACTTGCGGCAGAGTCCCCGGGCTGCCCTACTGCCCAGACCGTGCCTGGGAACTGCCTGCAAGAGCCCTCGCTGGCGCGGGACAGGGGACACAGCCTGGTTCCACTCTCCAGGACATCCCCCCTACTCCTTAGTCAAGTGGAGAAGATGCAGCTACAGTGACCTTTCACATGTCAGAAGACCCTTATTTATCAGTTTCACCAGTAAGAAATAAAAGATCGTTTTGTTTTGGTTTTTTCCTGATACTGCGGGACAATGAAAGTACCACCTTTACTGAAGATGGAAAAGTGAAAGCCTACTTTTTGGTACTGAACTATATTTTAAAAGCAATAATCAGGACCTTGAATGCTGATAACTTTTCTCAGAAAAGGGAGAAAAAAAATAGGCAAAGGCCTATTGTTTGGACTGTACAATCATCTTACTAGAAACACAAGTGGTGCGCAGTACTGTGCCGTGTCTCAGCAGCTGCTGCTGTTGCTGCAGGAATTTGCCAACATCAAGGAGAACATCAGAAGCTATTTCCAACACACACAAGGCTCTAAGAGAAACCTACAGACACATGTGCAAGGAGTGCTGACAGACAGAGTACAGTCTTGTCTTTAGGAACCTTTTCTGAAGTGTTTCCCGACTAATTTTAGGAGTCATGTATAGCATCACATTTCTGCAAACCAGCAAAAGGAGAAAAGAGCAAATTAGTAAGGTCCAACTTCAGGGATGATTATGACAGATTTCAAATTTTATGTTCATCTTACTGGACATGACTGGGATGGAGTTAACCTTCTCCATACCAGCCCAGAGAGTAACGTGTTTTGTGTTTGTGGCTAAAGCAGCATTAATACCACACCACTGTTTCAGCTGTTGCTGGACAGTGCGTGCACAGCATCAAGGCTTTCTCCCTCTCCCTCTCTGCCCCCCAGCAAGCGGGCTGGGGTGGGCAAGCAGCTGGGAGGGACACGGCCAGGACAGCTGACCCCGACTGCCCAAAGGGATGTTCCACACCACAGAATGTCATGCTCAGCAATTCAACTCGGGTAGGGGAAGAAGGAGGAGGGGAAGGCTTTGTCTTCCAGAGTAGCGGTTGCTCAGAGACTGGCTGGGCACTGCTCTGCTTCTAGGAAGAGATAAGCAATTGCCTTCGCTCACTCCTTTCTTTGCCTCCCTTTGATAATTAAACTGTCTTTATATCAACCCATAAATCACCTTGCCTTCTTTTCTCTTCGATTTTCTGCTCTGCTGGGGGGGTGAGCTGGTGCATGTGGGGGGGGTCCTTAGCTGCTGACTGCGGTCAACCCACCACACCAAATTAAAAAAAAAAAAAAAAAAGCCATTTTACTTGAATTTCAAGTCTATTAAAGTAACGTGTTAGGTCAGTTCTTAAAAGAAAGGACTTTAGTCTGGTTTTGTATTTGGATTTACTTTGGTATCATGAAGAAAGAAGAAAAAAAAAAAAAAACAAGAGCTGTCTAATTCTGAAAAAACGTAGCTGAGGAAAAGTTAGAAACAACACGCCTCTGTTAAAAGTTTACCCATTTAATTAACCAAAACACATTGTCCTTTTTGCCAGATCTAAATAAGAAAAATCTTCCTACAGTTGTTGTGGTTTGAGCCTACTCAGCAGCTAAATGCCACACAGTCACTCACCCACCCTCACCCCACTTGGGAATGGGGAGGGAATTGGAGGGGCAAAGGGAGACTCACGGGTTGAGATAAAAACAGTTTAATAACAGTAACAGAATAATACACTGACAGCAATATCAGCAGGTAATGTACAAAACAGCTGCTCACCACCCGCCAACTGACACCGGCCTGCTCCCGGCTGGTGATCCCGAACACAAAGGCCCCACAGCCACACTCCCAGGAGTGATGAGCCCCTAATTTTGAAATTAGAATATTTGACACGTCGGGGGTGGGGGGGGTGTTGTTTGTTTGGATTTGTGAGGTTTTTTGGGTGTTGGTTTATTTTTTTAAGAAGTTTCACCTTCCTTCCTTTTACCATACCTCATGATCCTCTTTTGTCTTTTGCTGAACATTGCACCATCTGGCTACAGGCTCAGGAACAACTTCCCATTCCTCATCAGCTTGTTTGAGAATATTCACAAACGTCGATTTCCCTGCAGCTGTAGAAGAAGCATTTGGGAAGAACGGCAGTCAAAAAAACACTGAGAGCATCATTATTTAACTACTACACAACTCTGTTTTAAATTCCCATAAATGAGTCTCTCACACCCATATACTTTTGACTTCATGACAAGCACAAATTAGAGACCATCGTGTACCACAGATCATCAATTTATTGAGCAACAGCATTTTTCATTTTGTACCACACAACACCAATAGCCAATTTAATGAAAATCGGTTATGATAACAAGTCTCAGCCCAAATCAGTTATCTAAGTTCCAGAAAGTTACATTTGCAATTAGAACACCTAGTCTTAATTTTTTAAAGGTACTTAGTGGTCCGGTCTCAGGAAGTTGTGGTCTTCCTAAGCTATTTTAGGAAGAAGACAAAAAAAACAACCAAACAAATGAGCAACAATGTAAGAAATGTAAAGCAAAAGTGCTTGTTTCTCAAATGAAGGTACAAAGATGCACTACTAGTTACTTCCTACAGCACAGAAATCATTAATCTGTCACCAACTGAAAAAAAGCTCAGGAAATTTTAGGAAGAGATACTTAAGCCTGAGAGAAGCCAATCAGTTGGCTATCAACCACCGACGTTACACATCAGTAAACAAAGAGACAGCCGGGCAACATCTACCCTCGATTTTAAGCACAACCTCTTGCCAAAAAAAAAAAAAAAAATCCACCACAAAAAACAAACAAAGATAACAAAGATTAAAAAAAAAAAAAAGCACAAAAAAACCCCAAAACACAAACAAACAAACAAAACCACCTATAAAAATAAAACCCAAACCCAATAGCTAAACAGGTTTCTCGTGTTAATCAGCAGAAGCATCGAAAAGGGCAGGTTTTCTCTCACAGCCTGCATTTGCACAGGGACTTTGCACTACAATCGGGAAAGGCGTACAAGTCTTACCCGGGACTCCAGCGCATCTTTTAAAAGATTAAGTTAAAAACTGCAACAGAAAGTGCCATGTCCCCACCGCCGCCCCCCACCCACCCACCCACCCACCCGCCAATCTCGACATTTTTACGGCATTAATTCCCTCGGCGGCAACGAAAAGCTCCCGAAGCTGCTCCCCCCCGCCGCACCCACAGCCACAGCCACAGCCCCCGCCCGCCACTGACCGATGTTGCCCTCGACAGCGATTTTCCTGACGCCGCGCTGCAGCCGCCCGCGCTTGGGCGGGGTGGCCATGGCGGGCGCGGGGCTCGAGGAGTAACGGCCGCCGCGCCTGCGTTCGAGTTTTGGCGCGCGGTGCCTGACGTCACGGGCACGGCCGACGGCAGGGCGGGCGAGCTCGGCGCGGCCGATCCAGGCCGAGCGGCGGCGGGCCGAGCGCATCGATGGGAAGCGGTGCGGTGACTCGGTCGGGTCTCAGCGGCCACCCGCCACCGCTCCCCTGCAGAAATCTTACAGGCGACGGGAGAGGAAGGCCAACGACCTCAGTTTTTGCTGAAAAGCCCCAGCTCCCACAAAGAGCCCCCCCCTTGGCAACGCCTCTCCCACAGTGCCACCAGAGAGTCTTGTGTTCTTGAAGGACCAAGTTTAACAGGAAGAAAAAAAAAAAACCAAAACGCCAATCTATGCAACGGGCAGAGGAGGCCGTGAGCAACGCTCGCCCTTCGTAGGACGGCTGCAAGCTGCCGTCCCCTCGGCCCCGAGCTCTGTGGGGGTGGAAGTAAAAGTATTTTTAACCACTTTTTCAAGCAGACGGCACAGGCCGGTTGGCAGCTGCAGGCGAGAGGTGACTGACCACAGGGCAGCTTCGGGTTTACAGGGTGAGGGGAGGGCAGGAAACTTGGAATGTGGTGGCTGTCTGGGCCACGGGAGGCTTAAAGAGAAAGAACGGAGGTGGGAAAAAAAAAAAAAAAAAAAGCACCTGTGCCACAGAGTCTGTATTTTGTGTGAAGCTGGTGGACTGAGAGCGCAGCTCCGGCTGCGGCAGGACACCCTCCTCGCAGGCAAAGCTTTCAAACCCCCCCTGGGAGCGGCACCGAGACACCATTAATGCAAAACTTGTTATCAGAAATCCCACACCGAGCTCCGTCCGTACTAGGTAAATTCAGGTCATGAAACGTGGAAATGAAAAGGGTATCAGGTTGTTTTATTGCTATTGTGTCTGCCTGCAATACAAATATTCACAAGTTGAGACAAGGCGATTACAAAAATCTAATTTGTATGTGTAATGTTTGTATGTGTACAATATACAGAAAAAAGTATCTACAAGTAGAAGATAATTTAGAAACAAGTTCAAAAAGGAAATAAAGACAATCATGGTCAAACATAGCTATTTATTTTCTCTTATAAACAGCCTTCAGTTTCTTATTGAAAAAAACCTAGAATTTAAATATCTGTCCCATCACATACAACAATCTGTATACATTATTTACAACTCTCAAATAAACATGTTGCAGATTTTCAGACATTCAACTTGTTTTCCTTTAAATCAAAAGCTGTTCTCATTTAAAACTAAAATATCAATCGGTGACTACAAACTGAAGCAATATTGGCACAGTTAGCTTACAATAAGGGTTCTCATCTTGCATTTTCCACTTCACACCGTATTTTCTCCCATATATTTTAAGATTCTAAAGGAGGAAAGGTTAGTGTTGCTTTTGTAATATTTTTTTTTTACCCTTCAAAAATGGCCTTTTATTGTAACCTCGTAATTTTTATTGCATTCTTCTCTCTCCTCTGTCACACATCAAGGTATGTGCTTCTAAGTACTAAGCAACACAACCACAGCATCCCGAAGGAGTAAAACAGCCATGAAAGTAAGTGTTCCCTCCGCGACATGTCTCTGAAAAATGTCAGAAGTTGCAAATGTACAAAAATAATGAGTATAGATTAGTGGCTATAAAAATTAATTTCCCCTAAAAAATACAATATTCTATGAACAATTTAGGGAATTGGTTCTTCAAACAAAACGGAATTTGATATTTACCTAGACTGCAATCTTAATCTTAACCTGGCAAGAGGAAATTGTAAGAAAAGCGGGAGAATAATAAGGTTTAACACTTAAAATAACCAATGTTAGTCTCATCTTAAAAGAGAAGATATCCAGGAAAAGACGACAGGCATCCATAAAACTGCTAGTGGTTTTAGTAGTGCAGTTTGGAAAAAAGACAACTGATATCACAAGTGAGGGAAACAAGATTCTGTGTACCAGGGAATCTTTTAGCGAAAGAAAAGCAAGGAGTCTGTGTCCACGCTGCAGCTTTTTAAATAGTCCAACTAAAAGGGGGTGGTTTATATACAGGAATACAGCACTCCGGCAGGTAAGAAGAGGGGATAGGGTAGCAAGAAAAAAGAGCAATTACCCAAAAAGGATGTGTTTATAGCAAAATTGTGTCTGGTGATTAAAGAGAAAGGAAGGGGGGGGGGGGGGGGGGCGCGCGCGGGGGCGAGAAACAGAAAGGAACAATCTGAAAGGTAAGTGAAGTCCATAGCAGCAAATAGGTATCCTTACCTGTTACATGAGTGTCGGGGAGACTGGGAGAGTGTTCAGTTCCTAAATACTGAATAAGGACAGTGCTCCTCTATATCTTAAAGTAAAAGCAAAAGTTCAAAGCTCTACATTGCATAGTAAGCAGTAAAAGAAACTTGATACTTGCAGGCGGGCCACCTGCCCCTTGAAACCTGTTTTCTCCATCTACCTGCTCAGCTACCTGCAACAGCAGAATGTGGCATTTTTCTTTTCTATTTGCACGATTAACTTGTATCCCTGACTTGAACCAGTAGAAAATTAATTATTTCTGGGAACATAACGTATCCACACCATTTGAACAGTGTCAACACTGGCAGCGGCGGCTGAATGTGATGAACTCAGCAGAGTTTGCCCCATCCCGTCTCGAGGTAGATGACCTCCTGAAGCGACCACCCAAATCACTGACATGGTCTAACATGCCGGTAGTTCAAAAACACCACAAACCGTAGAATTTAAGGCCCCTATGACACTGGAAGGCCTCATCCAGCACTGGCAGCCCAGCCTGGTTCAACCCCACCAGCACCTTCTGGTGGGGTTGAACCTCACCTGAAAGCTGAAAAGCTTTGTCTCAAAGCGCTCGTGACACCCAACAGAGTCCATCTCTAACCTGGGCCTAGAGCAGCGCGGGGTTCGGTCAGGGTTCGTTTCTCTGGGTTTTATTTGGGGGGTGAGGGGGTGTCCTCTCCCTTTCCCCCAACAAATGCACTATTTTATAAACACATTCACTTGATCCAGATTCCGTTTGTACAACGTGGCAACTTTCGTTTAGCATTTCAATGTGCCCTTACTCCAGGAGTGTAAACACACACCAGCTTCTGGTCCCACATCTTTTTGAAGCAAAAAACAAATAAAAGCTGCATATATAAACAGCATAGGGATACTAAATCCCAAACACTGCATACATATCTTTAATGTTGTTATTTTCAAGTGTTGTGTAATTAAACAATGTGTTCATACAGCTGTCAGGCAAATCATGATCTCCAAGCTTTTATTACATGCCTAGAAACTATTTTGTAAAAGTGCTTTCTACTGCCAGATACTGAATACAAAAAATACACTATGCACATAAGACTAACTTTTTCACATCATACATTCTAATTCTGATTGGCTGAACTGCAGCAGATGCCTCTGAATTTCTAGAATTGACTATTTAAAAAAAAAATTGAAAAAAATCAACAACAAGCAAGAAACCCCAACCTTCCAGAGCAGAAGTATGCTAAAAATGAAAACTACTGCACTGGTATCACTCCAAACAAATCCTCATTTCTAAATATTTTTCTTTTGTGTTTCTTGCTGGTACATGATACCAAACCAGTGAGACAGCTTTAAATCTAATGGAGAATATTTCCTATTTAGCTCCTTGGAGCAGGCTTCTGCCATTCTCACTCTTGTGTCTTGCTGCGATGTGGTAACACCAGTGAAAAGGCTCCTCTCCAGTAAGCACACACGCAGCCTCTTGAGCAGCACTGACTCCACTCAGCAAGGCGGTTTTCACAGGGAAGTTCACAGGATTTTTAATATTAAACTGCATCTGCAGCACTCTTCACGCCTCTGTAGCTGGAAATTTTCCGTCATTGAACACTCCTTAGATAGAAGCACACATAAAAGGCTGTGTGTGCAAGATCACAGTCTTAAATTCAGCTTTCTGCATGACTGGAGTCCGGTTAAAACTGTGCAGCTCAGATTTGGGAGTTAGGCTGCTCTGGTGTAGTCAGGTGGACACCGACCACTCCCATAACTGTGAAAAGATGATAGTCTCCTGTGTTATTTATCCTGAGCCTTGCAAGAGAGCCCTCCACCCCTGCACCCAAAGCTAGCACTGCCATCCTACTGCTCCCACACCAGGCTTACGTGGTCACGTCCAGATCAGATGTTAGGTATGCTACTCGGCTAAAAACAATCCTGCAGCTGCAAACACATCAGGAATGATGCACACAGTCCACACAAGGGCTGCATTCCCAGCTACCTTGTCAAACATACCATACAGCACATAAAAAGGGTAGTGTATACCAAAGGAACACTTTTTCTACAATTTTTCAACAAGACAGTACTTGCTCAGTCCAATACATGGGATATTCTGCCCCTGGGAGCTCCATCTTTGTCATCAGCCCAATACTCGACTCCCAACAGCAGCATTTAGGTGCTACAGCACTGTCTGACTCTTCCACTGGCCAACCAAATTGCAAGGGGAAATCCAAGGTTTGCCAGACCACACATGTCCTACAAGCAGAAGGACTGACGAAAGCACTGGGGTGAATACTGCCATCACAGGGGACTTGCCAAAGGAAAGGAAATGGTGCTCGTGCTTCTTGTTTGCTTCTGTCTCTCATCTTCTTAAGCCTTGTGCGTATTTTTCCAACTCCCTGAAGAGGTGACATGCACTAAATATCTCCCCTCTTTTCCTCCCACATGTGTGTACACACACAGGAAAGTCAAGATCCTTACTGGCTGAGAAGGGAGAAGACCTTACTCCACCTTTTTTAAGCCAGGAGTTTGTTAAAACATTGCATCACCAGCTTGACTCAGTGTGGACTGTGGTAACTCCAATCGAATCCCAGCACTCAACGTTAAGGAAACCACAATATAAAAGTCCTTTTCTTTGGCATCCACACAAAAACTTGGTCATTCTGTACAACAAAAAAAGCAGAAACATAAGGATAACTGAAAATTTAAGTTGTCCTTTGAGCAGATTATAATGGGCAATGACACTGATCTGTAAAGGCGTCAAACACATTTTACATTTCCTTGAGCTGTAGTGAAGCTTTGAATGAAACCAAGGACTGTCTTAATTACAAACGCTAAACTACATTTGTGTTTTGCAAGCAGCCTCTCTATCTAATATTAGTGTAGCCAAACCTAAATCCAGTATGAACACCACTGCATGACCATTCTTCACTGCACAATGCTCCACATTTCCATTTCTAAATAAGCAGCAGTGAAAAAAGTACACAATGCCAGTTTCTAGCTCAGTACTAGGTTTCTCTCAATTGTTCTGGGGCGGAGGGGGAGGGTGTGCTAATAAAAGGAGAGACAGAAGAGGTAACAGAACATTAAACTGCTTCTCCAGGAAGCACTTTAAGCAGACTAGGAATTTTAATTCCATTGAAGATAACATACTACTGCAAAGAACCTTCAGACGCTTCTGAAATACATCATTTTAACCCCCAAATTTCTAGCCTCCCAAATGAGTACGTGTTTATGATTGTGCTTACGTGTTTATTAGCTGGCTATACTAATAGCCACTTAGATATTCTGCAGGCTGCAGCACAGTATTTTCCACTTTACTCAGCATTTTCAGTCAAGCAAAGGCACACAAAATGTAAGCTAAACTTTTCCATCGCACGCTAACTCCGGCTTCACCTGTAAATTTTAAAGAGGGTCAAAAGTCAGTCCAGTGTACACTAGTCAGTTAAGGTCTTCATGCTGCTCAGGCCTAAAAATGGTGTTTTTGCAGAGTCACAGTCTGGCAAAACCTGGCAACGTTAACCACCTAGCGTACTGTATTTGGCCACTACTGATACCATGGGATAGCACGCTGCAGAACGCAATACGGATTGCTCTGAATCCAAAACACAACGGCTTTGACAAGACCCTTAAATGAACAAGAGCGCTAGTCATACGGGCTTCAGCCACAGGAAACCTGACTGATACAGCTGCAGCAGACACTGCCAGGTCATCATCTGAGGATCAGCCCAGAGGCCAACCTCTCACAGGGGATTCTCATTTCTGGTTTGGGAAAACACAAGGCTAGAGAGACAAAGACACTAACCCGGGTGGGGGACGGTCACCTTTTGATTAGGTTTTCTCAGAAACAGAAGATGCACTTACCAAATTACAAATGACTAAAAATTCACCGGTACATCCCTATCACTTTTCCCAACTGCTTAGTTCCTTGGACACGGGCTGCAGTTTTGAATGGGGGAGAACACCATCACGGTAGCGTAAATCCTAAGGGAGCCATGAAATTACATTCCCTCCAAGATACATTTCCTCCCAGGGAAAACACTGGCCACCAGAGCTCCTCCACAGAGCCAGGCTTTTTATCCCTAAGTTACAAATATCATTTCACTAGTTATTTTTCAAGTCAGGTTTTACTTCGTATTACCCCAGTGCATATTTTTGTGCTGAGTATTTTCCCTAACTGTATTTGTGCAAACTAACCCTTCATTTGGCAAATGCTAGGAAACTTAGCAGAAGTGACTGACCCAAGTCGACGCTTCCCTGTTAAAAAAATAAAAGCAACTATAAAAAGCCAAAACCAATGGCAACAGACATGTAACTACTTGCTAAGCACAGGTTCTTTGTAATTTTGACACCACCACCATCATTTCGCTTTAGCGACTAGAACTTCACCATCACTTTTCTTTATAAGAAATATCTAGTTTTGAAAAATTCTATATTAATCTCTATAAAAATAAGACAAATATTTGTATTAAAAGCTGGAGATCATGGATTTCAGTAAGTTATGGCTTTTTTTAGTGTAAGCTTATATATATTTTTCTAAAACAAGTATTAGTAAGTGTCCTGGGTGTTAGTTCGTATTTTCTGTTTCCAGCAATGTTCAGTATTGTATGTGCTTTGCACCTCAGAAGTGAGTCTGCCAAGGCACTTAAGAGAATGTAAGCAAGTCATTTATAGGGACTTCATGAGAATGGGCTACCACTGACACAATAGAAGAACCCATCCACCAGCAGAGTCAATCCCCCAACCAAGCATGTTTCCTTTATAAACACTCAGCACCTGCTAAAATTCCACAATGAGTAACAACAATCCAAAATAGAATAAAATAAAATTTAAAAAAAAGCTATTTACCACATGTCGCTAACAGATAAAAGATTTTCTCTAATAAAAGCACAGAAAGTAGATCTTGGCTGTTATTAGTAACAGCACAGGTTTTTGTTGTGTTTTTTTAAAAAAACAAATGAACAACAACAACAACCAAAAAAAAAAAAAAAAAACAAAAAAAAAACAAAAAAAAAACAAATACCACACGCTTGCTTAAAGAAACAAGTGACTTCAAGAAATACTCTTCTTTTTATCTGTCCTTAGAGGTGAGTTTTTCAATCAGTTCTTGAAGTGGTGCAAGTTCTCTTCTATCAATAAGGTTGAATTCCTGTAACAAGGATGAGGAGAAAGACATGCAGACAAGGGTTTTATATGTGCAGCTCAGGTAAGAAGTCTTATTTAGACACAAGTTATTTGGGCGTAGGCTCTTCTAATCCAGGCCCGGCCACTAGAGCATTTTCTGCCTGTCTGGCGTTAGCTGAACAGCAGTGCTCAACTGCCTAAAAGCTTTTTCCTGCACTTAAAAGGACGGAAACGCAAAAAGTTGCTCCTTTTCAGAACGGGAGGAGGGGAACGTAGCTTTGAAACAAGCACACTCTTTTCAGTCTAGCTTCAGATGCCATCCGCTCACCCTCCTCCTCCTTTTGTTAGGAATTACTGTTCTATTGATTTATTTGGTACGGAACACTTTTTGGTATTCTATTTTGTAGCAAACGAATGCTTCATTGAAAACTTCTCCATTCCTCAAATGCTTCTAGCAGTAAATATACATAAAAATGGAGTAGGGCGCTATCTTAGGGTCCTGGAGGAGTTGACTCTCCTACAAACACACCAGCTGTTAAGCAACTGAAGGGGCATTACTTTGATACATTACTTTTTCCAGAATACAACTGTAATCATAACGCTTCTGCCATACTTACCTGAACAAAAAATATAAAGTGCTTGAAAGAAGTGTTAAGGTGTGCCTCTTCCTGTAGCTGGATCACTGGATCAAAGTGCTGGTGATAAATGTGAGCATAAACTCTGAAGAGACGCTTTAAAATTGTCTTTGCCACTGACATGAAATTCTTTGGGAACGGTACACCTAGGAGTAAGAAAACAGATGGCTTATTTTTAAATGCCCACAACACATTCATGTAGTTTGAAAGCCATTATAATCCAACCCTATCCCTTGCTCAAGGGCTGTTTTGTTTTGCTCAGCAATTCTGTCTAAGTAACACAATGTACTGAAGCACGACGACAAGCTCAGTGACCAGAGGGGAAGTTTCCCTCTCTTCAGCAGAGCAGTGGCTCATGCACTCTTTCCAGGGCAAATCTGACCACGTTTCTTTCTACGCTGAACCCTCCTATCTTCAGCCTCCAGCTACTGAATCTTGTTATGCCTCAGTACAGTTCCCTGAAGAGCCTTCTCCGACCAAGAATCTTCCTCCCTTCCGAGGGGATTCAGATACCCCAACACAGGTATGTAACGTGCTTACAGATGCCCTCTCAGTACCTGCCTGACCTCCGACTGCCAATGCAGAGGAGGGCAAGTCTCCTGCAAGCTTGGAGCCTCACCAGTGGCTCTGTGCACGTGCCCAGGATACCACAGGGTACTTCTAGGACACCAGATACCTTCTTTTGTAGGTAACTGAAACCACCTGTGCTATCAGCCATTGAGTTTTACACCTCTCTTGGCTAAAGTGGAATCAGAAACAGGCTCTCTTCCATCTGTCTCAAGCCCAGCAAAAAGACTCCTGCTTCCATCCTGCTCATCACCACCCCTTAGCCAGAGGCTACTGCTTTCTCCACTGCCTGCTGAAATCCTGTGAAACATGCTCCTTCCAGTTCCTTCAGTGAAAATGACCCGGGACAGGTGAAATCAGTTTCAAAAGCAGATCTTTGCCACTGCACAAGTGTTATTAAAATTGGTTAGGAAACAGCAACCAGCTACTGGCAGCAGCAATCTCTTTAGTTGACACAGCCACAGGCTAAAAAAAGATATGTATCAACCATCTAAAAAGATTAAACCTGTCTAGCTTCTCATCACATAGCAGTTTTCCCCATCAGCTTCGTTCTTTTGCAGTCTTCCCAACTGCCGAAGTCCCGTCTGAAGGTCAGAGACCCAAGCTGGATGCTGTAGTCTAACCATGGTCTCACCAGCGCTTTAAAAACCTAGCAATAAAATTTTCATACTCCTCCTTAAGCTTGCCCTGCTTATACGTACACCATATTTCCTTCACTGGCTGCTGCATCGCATGGGAAGTTCATATTTAGTTGGTTATCCGCTGTGGCCTAAAAGTCTCTTTCTGAATTCTTTCAAAAATACATCCTATTAAAAAAGTCTTCAAAGTATATGCTGCAGTTAAAAAAAGATTTAGTCCTGATGTAGTCTTCTGAACACAACTTTTATAGTAACTGTAACTATTTTATATCATTCCTATTAGTAATGGACTTCTACCCCAGCTCTGAACTCTACCCTGAAACACAAAGACAAATGCCATAGTATGCAAAGAATCCATGCTCCCATCTACTGAGCAGCGAAGATTTAGCTTTTTGTCATTTCTTCCCAAACTAACCAGCCTTCTCTGCATATCTGCTTAACTCTAAGTAAAAACAAATGCCATTTGACTCTGACAGGTGGCCCTGTTTCTCTGCAGAGGCTTACTGAAAAGGCATCAAATGCTTCAGAAACCATCCACAAAATAAAAGCAATTAAACGGATCTCCCTTCCTCTTTCCACAACGGATCATAAGCCCGTGAGTGTACTGGAAAGCTGCCTGTTAGGAGCTTTAGAACAAATAGTCCTTCATGCTTCTAGAAGCAAGGTTTTCTTCTTATCATTACCAAACTGATGGTTGTTCATTACTTTCATCCTGGTTTTCTGAAAGAAACCTCTTAAAAACATGTATCTCATCTTCACTTGAAAAGAAAAAAAAAAAATCGTTAAGATCAAAGATGCAATTCAGCTTCTTTGCAAGTAAGACCTAGGAGAAGTTCCTCTTAAGCACCAGACGTCTTTTCTGCATCAAAAAGCTGCCAGTTTGTACCAATTAGTGGTTATAAGGTTTTGAGACCCTCTGCCTTATTTCTAACAAAACAGGCCGCTGTTCAAAATGAAAAAAAACCCACCAGATTTGATCAACACGGTCAGTTATTAAATAGAAACAGTACTTCCTGCATTCAGAATTGTGATAGATGTTTGTCAGGAGTATTAAAACATGGATCAGAGTTCATATACTACCACAAAAATTTTATCTTAAGAGATACAGGTGCCTTTATATATATATAATGTAACCTTTTCAAGTTACCCTACTCATCAGTCATTTAGGAGACCTTCTAATGCTGTAATACTTCAATAATCCTGTACAACTGTAATCCAAATACATTGTTCAGTTTTACTTATTTACTTTACCTATTTTAGAAGGAAATAGCGTTTCATCATCCAGTTGATCCTGGACCCAAGTCATCAGGTAATCAATGTACTTTGGTGCAGAGCACTTAATTGGTTTCTTTATGTTTGTCCCATCTGCCCAGTGGTACTCATATCTGGGTTGGGACGACAACAACAAGACATTTTTTAACACAGGTGAATCATTCATATCAAGGCCTGGAAGGCTGCTTTTCCTGCACCGCTCCCCATACTCCCACACCCTCCCACAGCCCTTCCCTGAAACTAGGGTCCAAATTCTCCCCAGTCACCCACAGATGCTATGGCCTGTCTCCCCACTGCAATCCTGTTTTAGCTGGACTCTCTTCTGCAGTCTGTCAAGGCCTCCAAAAACTTTGTCCTTTACAGCACAACTCATTCATCCTCGGTTGCAACACTCCTGGCCGAAACGCACATGGCAGCCTGAGGTCAAATCTGCATCCCTGTACATCACCAGGTGCTGTAGAGTAGGTTTACAAACCCTGAAAGGTCAATAGCTACTTATTCCTTTTTTAAAGCTTTCTTTTCCTTCCACTTCAAAAGAAAACCATTACAGCCTGTCCAAGTAGAACATCAAAAAGTTACATGAGACTCTCAGACAAATAAAAGTTAAGCTCCAGGGCTCAAATTGGTGAAGGCACCTGACTGATTTCTCATGCAAAGCTTCACTCCAGCAGCCCTGATAACAGGCTTTTCTTCACTTCCACTGGCAGACAGGAACTGCAAAGCGAGTGGCAGTGCTCGACATCTGCAGAAGCTGCCAGCCAGATACATTAGAGCCCTAAAACATATGGAATTACTTCACATTTAGAAATATTCTATAGATTTTGCATAATTGAAGACCAAACTACATTGGCTCTTGTCAGAGACCCCAAATTATGCTTGTATTAGAGACACAGAATAGATTCAGAGGTAGACTAACGCCAAGGAATACCATTACAAAACTGGAAGCCTTTCAGCTAACAGTTAGAAGAAAGCTTCTAAACTAATTAGTCCGCCTTAGAACAAGTTTGTATCTGAAGGTCTAGTGCTACCCTGCAACGCACCAAGATTCAGAAGAATCTCTGTTCCCAGTTATACCACTGACTCACTTGATAGTGGCAGGCCAGTAACTGTCTTTTAGTTTAATTTTTCCATCTGTAGCTAAGGTGATACCACACCTTTACAAACCACTGACACGACTAGGAAACAGTATACATGTGCTTTTTTTGGCCTCTTCCATCCACAGAGTTGACATTGTTTAATGTAGCACATATAATGAGTATATTTCAGCATCTTTCATTCAACAGCTACCATTTTAACTTCAGGAATTTAAAAAGCCATGGAAAAAATGTATTAAACAACATCCATCTACATGAACCACCAGACAGAAATGAATCCTCATGAAATCAGAATGAAACAGGTATTTTACTGTCTTGGGGAATGCACTTGTCCCAAGTCCAGAGGAGAAACAGCTAACCTTGGGAACATATAGCTTCAAAAAAACCCAAACACATTTAACACTGGGAGTCTGACAATCGTAACATTCAACTGAACCACAGTGTTTCTTTCTACATCTTGCTGAGTAGACATGCACATATCTTAATATTCCTTGCCAAGCCGCAATATTTGAGTGGTTTCTTCTCATCAGCACAGAGTCAGGCACAGCCCTCTCTTTTCGGTCCGAACGCAGCACTGTCCCCCACGCCGGGTTGGCATCAGCCAGCACTGCTGCGCGACGGCTGTCCGCGGGGCAAGCCCACTGCCAAGCCAGAAGCCAACGGGACTGCTGAGCTCTGCACCTCTGATATCCTCCCAGACAAACAAATGAACAACGATTCAGGCTAGCTGCAACACTTCTCTTTTAAAAATATAAAATTTTTAAAAATAACAAAAAAATCCAAGCAAAACAAAACATACAAGGATAGTGATGTCAGCTCAGTCGTGCCTTTACAGGAAGCATACACACTTGACCTACAAGTTGTACCTCAGTTCTTTTTAAAAGAATTAGAAGAGATATTATTAATGGTTAATATTTCTTCTGTTCATGGAGGATAGCGTTCTCCATTTGATTTTTATTTCTTAGTACAGTAGTAGCATACCACACTGTTTGGGCTGCAACCACCACTGTCTAAACTTCCCCTTGCTACATCCAATGAGTATTGCGCTGACATTGGAGACAGACTTCTATTTTAAAGATCATACACATCATTTCATGCAAAACTTAACTGTATCTGATAAATCTGGCTTCTAATTTTGTTAAACAAATTTTGTTTTGTCAGACCAGTAACTGTGAGAACGTTTTCACAAAAAGAATTTTTACGAGTGATTACGAGTGTGCTCCTCACAATGGTACGAGAAGATCCCATTTTTATAACAGTAACCAATCAGAGAGTCTGATAGCATTTTAAAATTGTATCTCTAAACACATGCAAAAATTCCACACACACTGACTGAATGGACCACGATGTGTCTGGATTTCTGAAAAATCAGTATTCTTCACCACCCAGTATTACCCTAATACTGAGACTTAAGTGGTATTAATGTAGAACAAATATCAGCACTTAACTGAGGTGCCAGGTTCAGTCTGGAGACACAGCAAGACGACAAACTAAATTACATTGAAAAATATCATCCAAAGAACATATATCCCCAAGACATCCAAAGAACACATATCCGTAAGAAGCCGCCCTTCCCTCCCCACTCCCCAACACTATGGGTTAATTCTGAATTTTTTAGAGGAAGGAGTGCCATCGAATGACCCTTTAAGTAACACAGCTCTTAAGAAACAGCAGATATATCCTGACTAAAATAAAGTCATAGAGAATATTCAAAAGCATTCTGGCAAACCCCCCATGCTCCACACAGTGGGCGCGATGTTTACGGTTGTTCCTAGGCTGTCAGAAGGCTTGGAGTTACAATGGAAGGAAAATAAACTCTTCCTACAAGATCAAATGCATTATTGAAAACAAAGCAAGAATCCTAGCCCAACTTCTTAAAATCAGAGTATCACACACACACACAAAAATCCCACACATTAGAGTCATTTGAACTGCTACAGGAAACAATGGGTAAAAAAATCACACTTCTAGCTCAAGCTTGTGTGCAAATACCTACAATTCTGGCTGTAGAAACAAATTACCCTTTTTGTGATAGGCAGTTCCTCTACAGAAAATAGGTTTTTAGAAACCTCTACAGTTTACTAAAGGTTTTTAGATGCAAAACAATATGTGAAGGATAGAACAAGAAATACACAGTTCACTTCAGCAAGCGCAGAGGAAAAGCTAAGAATCCCTAATGACTCTGGTAGAATTCGCTCATCCTAATAAACAAAAGTTATTTGCCATCTATAAACAGAAACTCAGCTATGCTCCTCACACTAGAAAATATCCCTAGGTATAAATAATCATAGGACCAGCTCCTCTACCGTGCAATTACATGTACATGGCCTAAAAGAAAACAAAAACCCCCACAACAAATCAAAAACAAGCTTGACTAAAATTAAAGTTGTTACCTTCTCCAACAGCAATAAAATGTAGAGGCTCAGTAATGCTTCTTAAAAGATCCTCAGACATGTATTTGCACCTATCATCTCTAAATCTCTACAAAACTGTATTACATCGGGACTGCTGAATGATATTATTCTGTTTTGTCCCTCAGTCATCAAGCAACACAGACACAGAGTGGAGCATCACAAGAAGGCAAAAGGATTTATATTGCTAAGGGACACATGGTATTTCAAGGACCTGTTTACATGATTTTTTTTTTATTTTTATTTTTTTTTTGGTGCAGACACAGTGGGCAGAAGGCAGCTTGTGAACCTTCAATTACGCTGTATTACATTCATGCCAGATTGACGGGAGCTATCCGCTCCAGAGTGCCCAGCTACTCCAATTTGAACAGAGGAAGACAGCAGCACTGCACACCAACAAACCTCAGGAAAACCAGACATATCTCATTGCCATTAAGAGTGAGCTTAGTGCACTCACACAAAAGCCTACACATGGATTTTAGAGCCCCAGTTCAGACACCCAGCTTTGAAAAATGCAGCAGCCATGCCCCTCAGTTGCGCTCTTACTGAAGACTTACAACCAGGGAGGAAAGAAAAGAAAGAAAATTCCCCTCACCCAATGCTGGTTAATAACCATATTAATTCTATGCCGATTCTTGACTTATTACCATGTCTGTTGCACTGATGGTGATACTGCAACAAATTTAAGAATAGCAAGAAGTGATAACCAACTGTTTGGGTAAGAAATGGTTGGTGTCTGCTGAAGTGAAAAGAATGGAACATTACCATGAGTAATCATATGTTTTGGAACAAATTAAACCAATACTTCTTTCAAATTGTTAGACAATGAGCTGGACAGCAGGAGAGGGAGATCTGTTCTCGATCTTTACGTCTATCCTAACTAACTGAATGTACTAACACCCTGATAAAAGTGAAGTCAGCAATCCTTCCAACAAAGACAAGTCCAGGAGAAATGAAAGTGATCCCACAGTACACAAAAATTTACCTGACTCAGCTATGCCCTTCTGTTAAGATCTCTACCAAAAAGAACCAGTGGGCTGGAGAAGCAGCCATACAGCCCTAAGCACTTCCTTCACGGGAGCCCCTCAGCGAAGATAACCCTCTCTGCACCAAAAACAAAACACAGAAAACCACAGATTAAGCTAGGTGACCTGTATGCTGCCAAGGGTCTTTTATTTTTTTTCTTTTAAAGGGGTTTTAAAGACGAAACACCAGTACCAGGCAGCGGATACAGGAAATTCTGCTCTGGTTACCCTCTCAATTAAGACATCTGTTTTAATTTTTCCATAGACTGCTACAGATTTGTCAGTTGTGCTATAAAAATTGTGACTGAGCCACAACAAGTTCTAAACAGCTACCTATGTGTGCACCAGCACCTTGCAACCCTTTTTTAATATGTCAACCATAAACACTTGTCCAGTGGGAATGATGAAAGATCAGACTTTAGAGCCAGAGAATGCTTCCTGCTTTCAGTTCTCTCCATCTGCCTAACCTCTTTCAGACGACCTTATGTAAGTTATTTCAGCAAACTCATGCTCTTTCGTCTGGAATAGATGAGGATGCAATACCGGTGGTAGCTCAGCCATCTATGTAAGCAGACAGCAACCTCCAGCCTAGAAGCACTAATGAGCACCTAGGATTCAATGCCTCTTCAACTAATACAGCTTGAGCCGGAAGAGAACAAGAAATGGAGAGAAGAAATAGGAAAAAAAATCCATAAATATCAGTGCTTTCATGCTGACAGGTTTCCCAGCAGTGCCTGCCTGAAAAAAATCTTGCAGGCCACCTTTTAAATGCAAGAAAGCCACACTCACTCAAACTAAAAAACCCTGGATATGCTCCACTGCTGGTCACTGCCAGACTCACAAAATCACCTGTTCCTCTGCCTGCCCAGCCTCTGCCCCTCACATGCACACACGCTTCTGATCCTTTCACAAAACCCATCCCTGAGCACAGGTGGGGGCTGCAGAGTTTGGAGAATTCCCTAGAAATCCTAGGGACAAGATCACCTAATTAAAACCTAGGCAGAATGCATCTTCTACTCTCTAGCATCTCTTTTCTACCCAGCTTCACAGCGGTTGGAGTATGACATGTATTTCTGTCAGTGGTTATCAGTCTCTCTGGAGAAATTGTTTAGTCCGGCAACCAGACGACTAAGCTTTTAAAAATTAACCTTCACCCCCGAACAACTGCTTCGCAGCAGACAAATAATAAAGCAAAGAAATATTTTCATGCTTTTATTTAATAAATAAGAGTCTGTTCTGCATGCCAAAGCACAAAGCAGACAATGGGCTAGGTTATTGCACAAGCTTATCCCAAAGTTCTTTTGCATAACAGTTAACTTCTATTCCTTTTGTAATTTCACCCCTCCCTGCTTTGCAGCAGCAGGTCTGCCTGCCCACACTGGTTTTGGCATTAATTTTTAGTTTAAGAACATCGCTCCAAAGCTTTTCTTGGCCTGCCTGGCTACTTTTGTCTCACCAAGCTCCTGCTCCCTCTGCCTTGCCCTCCCAGCAGCTCCCTTTTGCGTGCCCTCAGCTCCCCATCACACCAGCTGGCAATTACTGACTTCAGACAGTAACAACAAGTGTCATTATCAAGAAGAAGGAAGTGGAGAGAATTGTTTCTCTTTATTGTTTATTTAAGATTTTACAGTAATTTAAAAGAAAGCTGTGCCCTCCCTCGCCACTCGCTTAGAAATGCAGGTATTTTTCTCTGGAAGACAGTAAGCAGCTTGAGAGCAAGAAAAAACACAAATGTTGGATGTCTGTTCAGAAGCATAAACAAGAATCAAAGAAGTGCAACTTAACTGAGGGACAGGGTAGAGATTTCTTATCCAGACTACTAAAAACTGTAAAACAGTTTATTTCTACAACACCTACCCAAATGCCTAAGAAAGATTGTGGTAAGCCCTAACTGAATGCTTGCATATAAAAACTTCAAATCTTAATTTTAAAAGCTCTCATTAACATTTCAGAAAAAAATGGGAAAAATAGTTTCAATAACCAGTTTACTTCTCAAGCTACAGAAAAAAAGAGAAGTAAAAAAACAAACAAACAAAAAAAAAACCAAACCCAAAAAACACCTTTCCTTTCCCCATCCCTTAACAAAGGTTCGATTTTTTTTCCCCTCCACAAGTAACAAAAGAAGACATCCTTTTCACCCACAGAAGTTACCTTCTCTAGGCACTCAACTGAGCTAGTCTCAAGTTTTCAAATGCAAAATCATCTCAAAGATTGCACACTCTCAGTGATGGGTAAAAAATAATCTTACTTTGGGCCAGCAGACATTACAGGGCAGCTCTCCTCCGTGCAGAAGTCCGTAATGGTTCCATAAAGCATATTGATCTGGTTGAAGAAGTCGACAGCTGTAAAGCATTTAAACCATCAATTAACACTCAGCAGTGTAACCACAACACAAGCTTTCTACAGCCTTAACTGTAAAGTGCACACTGCACAAGAGGATCCTGGAATATTTTGGGGGAAAAAAGTTCACTGTTACTGCTTTCTAAAACCTGCTACAAAGGAGATGCAGAATGCAACCACCGACTTCCTACAACAGCCTCCGGCAATAACTATTATAATTGCTCACTGCAGCAAAATCTTCATTTGAAAGAAAAGGGAAGGAGAAAGCAGAGTTACTTCCTTTTCTGAAAGTTTGGTGCATTTTATTAGAATCCCAAATTCTACTGGCAAGTCTGGAATAAAACAAAGATCTGCTGTGTAAACTTTGCAACTAGAGCGAGCTGTTTCTCATTACGTGACACTGACTTCCCTCAGGCTTCGTATTCCAAAAGACTATCTTTCAAAGAACATTTCATAGAATCACAGACTGCTTTGGGTTAGCAGGGCCCTTAAAGCCCCCCCAGTGCCACCCCCTGCCCCGGGCAGGGCCCCCTTCCCCCAGCCCAGGGGGCTCCCAGCCCCGTCCAACCTGGCCTTGAACCCTTCCAGGGAGGGGGCAGCCACAGCTGCTCTGGGCACCCTGGGCCAGCGCCTCACCCCCCGCACAGGGAAGGATTTCTGCCTTAGATCTCACCTAAATCTGCCCTCTGACAGTTGTTACAGTCAAACACTACCTGTATGGGAGGTGGGTACAGAAATGACATAGGAATAGTTACAGTGCCAAGCAACTTCTGTTCCCTAGATTACCAGTTAATCACCACAAATCAACATTTAGTCCACAATGTTTCCTCATTATAAACTATCCTTAGAGTTTTGTTCTGAGGCGTTATTGCTTAAGTTTTGTTACATGTTTGGGAAAGCAGTTCTCTTAGCCAAATCTTTTTTTTTTTTTTTTTTTTTTTTTAAATGATCTGTAGACGAATTACTGAAATAAAAAGTTAGCATATCTAAATATTCCTATACTTACTACTTTAAATAGGTGCTTGATTACTTAGAACTCTTTGAAAGCAAGGCTCTTGTTCAATAACCTAACAGCAGGTACTGTTCTTAGGAACTGTGGTCACCATAATCAATTTATAAAATCCACTTTATTTCCCCTCAGTAAATGGCCCCCCCTGCATCTGTTGCAAAGCACAGGACATTTCCAAGGTATCCATACAGCAGTTTATCTTTTCAAAATGTCTTTCAGAAAACGATGTCATGATTAAAAATTGAAAGGTGACCAATATAAAGCACTAGGAAACAACATTTTGAGCCGGCTGGATTAAATTCTTAGAACTAACTAAGAGCATGATGTGGTTCCAGAACAACAGTTTTTCTACATATTCCTGTCTCCCTTATCATGCAACAGTTAATGTAAATTCTGTTTCTGGAAGAACTTAAGTAATACCAGCATACAAGAACTTAAGACTTGTGGAACTAGCTTTGGTGTCTTTACTCATTCATTTTTATGCATGGATGAAATTCAGCAATCATAAAAATCCAAATCAAGTGTGGTGGAAATTCAACTCCTCCTATTTAACCACAGTTCTCTGCAAATTTAACTAGGCCAGCAACACGCCCTTACCCTGAAAGGATCCGCGTATAACAGATAAATAGCTTGTATGCCCCAGTACCCAGTCCAGGCTACACCGTTTCTAGTGCTAAGAGCACTGGGCCTGCCGCCTCTGACGACAGGAGCCTTTACAGCTAAAAATTTCATTTATGAATCATGTCTTCAGAACCAGTCCTCAGGATGGGACACCAGTGCACAGTCTGTCTGGGCTCAGCCATCGCTTAAGACTGACTTCAGTGCTACCTGCATTATGCGGCAATTCAATGTGCCAGTAACGAACTTTCTTTACTGAGACAGATTGCAGGAATACTCAACTAAAACCCTTTATCAACATTACTGACAGTGTAATCATGTCACCAAATAGTCATGTCTTATTTGACTTAGAGTTCAGGTGACAAAGCAAGCTCTTCATTCTGAACCAACAGGGAAAGGTTTTCCTGTGACCAGTCTCTGCTCTAGTTAGACAGACATGTTTGTCTTAACCTAAAAAATTAGTTCAAAAAAATTAGTTTAAAAAAGAGTTACCACTCGCAACATTGAACAGTCTCATACAACCCGTCTGCAGGACACTGGAATTAACACCAACAATACACTCCTCACAATCCAGTGCCATCAGAAGCCTACCCAAAGTTGTGTTCCTTGATTAACTCTGTTACAGAGATGAACAGTTTGGCTGTAATAAAATGGAGATTGACATCCTAAACATAAGTACTAGCAGATATCAGGTACTGCAAAAGTAACTGACAGCTAAAGGAAAGGGAGGGTTAGATACTGCAGCTCCCCTCACTGATTTTTCCAGAGAATAAATGTCAAAGATGACACAAACGCCATGGCAGCAAGTTACAGCTACTGTTCAGCTTGTGTCATGCAACTTCCCAGGCATCAAAAAACAGAAGCAAATACCTGCTGGTGTGGCTTGCACCAAGCACAGCTCCACTCCAGCAACAAAATCTCTCCCCCTCACCTGCACAGCAAAAGCAAAAAACTGCGAAACAGCATTGGGAAATGCTGATAGAGTTGCAGAGGACTAGGAAGACTCCTAAAGCTTGTTTTGACAGGGGGAGGAGGCAGTTAACACTGAAGGCAGCAAGATCTGATTATATGGAGCCCTTGTTTCTCAAGTGTACACAAGAACTGTTAATTAAGTTTCCACTCTCTGTTCCCAGTAGAAACCACAGCCCAATGTTTCCTTCAAGGCAAGCGTGTTCAAAAAACCCACACAGACTTTGACAAGATGACTCTTATTGGGAATCCCTCACTTGCAAATCTCAGAAGGCCATGAGACACGCCACCCATCCACCAAAGCCAGCAGTGTGTAACAAACAAGAAAATTGCAAGAACCTCCTTTCCAGCATGTCTAAAGCTGTACAGTGTCTCTGCATATTTTCATTTCCTCTTTTTACTCACTGTTCTTAAGTTTCGGGGGCTTAGTTTATTTTTTCCAAGTGCTTTTCTATTCAAAGAAGTGCACACTGCCTGGTCTTCAATTACAAAGACAGGGGCAAGATGTACTCCTGAAATGATTTTTTAATACTTTCAAAATCAAGGAGATTTCAAATGAAACTCAAAACAAACTGATGATATGCTTCTCTTTTATTCTGAAAACATATTAGAAAAAAATCTACGCCTACATTAACTCATTCCGGTAAGATATTAATAAGGCTAAGAGTTGAGCAAGAAGTAGAAGGGCAGAGCACAGTTGTTCCTGTGCTACTACTGTGAAGGGCAAAAACAATGACATTAAGTCACACATTTTATTTCCTTATTAGAGGTCTCACTCAGCAGAAGGGGTTCACAGCTACCATTAACTGGTACTAGGTGTGGTAGAGGGATGCTGTGAATGAAGTAGTATGTAATCAGTTAATCACTTTTAGACAAAAAAAAAAAAAAAAACAAAAAAAAAAAAAACCACACACACCCAAAACATTAAAACCCCACACTTTGCTGTAGGAGGAATGAAAGAGGACCATTTCATTACAGAATGCAGCTGTTGCCAAAAGGCAGCTCCCACTCTCCTGTCAAGTGCTTCGCTGCCTTTTGCCACCCAGTTAAATTATCTGGGAAGGGAAAAACACTGCTGCCACCCCGGAAAGAAGAGACATGGAAAGGAAGAACCATCAAAAGGGAAGGATGCCAGCAGTATATGAAGCATCTTTAGTAATACTTACTCATAAAAATGGGCCGGCTCTTTTTCTAGACAGTTTTGCAATACAGCGTGAATAAACTTTGAAAGATAACTGTGTCAGCAATTTCAGCATTCCCTGGAAGCACTGGCAACTTATATACCAGAGCACTGTGTGGCTAATTAAGAGCCAGCAAGTTGTAGACAGTATGACAGTTTAAATACCCAAACATATCAAAGAGTAAGAAGAAATAGATAGAACCTCATAAACAATTAGAAGACATTTATCTTAAGCATAATTTATACTGCACTTCAGTGCACAATCAATACCATACAATCATGGAAACACACCAAGCCAAAGACATGAATGAGGAGGAAATACCCAGACAGGGCACAGTTTGTGGCAGCCAAAACTCTGCATGGAATACAGAGCATGATAGGACTTTGGGTTACCCCATTCATTAAGAGCAGAAGGCATGCAGTGGGGAGAGGAAAGGGGCAGAAACATGGTCAAGCGATCAGAAAACACTAATTTGGGCACCACTGTTTGGTCTGACCTAGCATGAAAGGAGAGAGTTAGTACAAACCGCTTTAGAGGAAGTTTAAATGATGACATCAGAGGCTTGCCAGAGCAAAGGCTCACAACTTGGTAGAAACAAAAGGAACTAACTTTAGGAAAACTGCAAAGACTGATCTCTGGGTTTGTTACAGGCAAAAGGAAAGCCAGGCCATCCAAGTCACCTGGCCCTCAAACTTAACTAAATTAAGTTTTTATGCTTACCATGTAGAGGCTTGACTGCACCATGGGGTAACAATCCTAGCTGAGAAAGAGCTAGATTAAACATATCGAGATGGCACTGACAGGCTACTTTCTAAAAACAGCAGTGACATTTCTACTTCAGCACTTGTTTGTGATCAAGTGCTCAGACTTTAACCGCTAAGAATAAGAATTATTTTGTTAACAGGAACATATTTTTGGCACAAGGAGATTAAGGAGTTTTTGTCTCTGTGAGATGCTCTGCATCTGTCAGCTCTAAACGCTACGACAGTCTCCGCTCCCAACCGCAGCAGAGAGGTGCGGGCAGGATGGAAGGGCCTACCCCACTAGAACGGTGCACACAGTTGTCCTCCTGCAAGTGTCAGCCCACGTTCAATGCCCCTTACCAAACAAAAGGTTAGACAACTTACTGTTAACTGCAACCCATTCGTTTAAGTCTTCACCCTCTGGAAGCATAACAGCCATCCGGAGATTACCGCTTCCAAGCGTGGCTTCAGCATGTTTTAGCAGCTCATACTGGTGAGACCCCTCAGGAATATTCTTCTTTGGTTTGAAGGTTTTGGAAGAGCGACTACCACTGTGAAAGAGAGAGGAAATACTTAGAGAACTTTTAGAAAGGGAAGGGGAAAAGAAAGGAGCGCAGAAGTCACACGTAAGCATAGGATTAATGTTAAGTACTTTCCCCACTGCCATATTTTCATGTCGAAAAAGGATATTCAACAAAAACTGGGATGCAAAGGTAATAGGTGCTTTGACTTGTTGTTTTAAACAATTAAATGATTCTCCACTACCTTGCCTTCTCCTCTGCACCCCCTGCTGTTGAGCCAGCTGGAAAACTGGGAATGCTCTGACTCCTTTCCCTCTCACAGACTGGATGATGGGCAAGACGAGACCAAAAAAAGTATTTCCTTCCCCAGAATTTGGACAGCCACATATCAAGGATAGCAACCCCACCAAACAGACAATTCCTTTACTCTGAAGAGTCACGAAGCTTGTCATGGTAATTAAATATACCATTTATTTAACAGAAAAACCCATGTTCTTTTTCTAACACCCACCTTCATGAGACATGAAATATCATCACACCTGCACCAGTGTAATAAGAAGGTAGGGGACAGCCTGTTCACACCCCTGTCTTTTCAAATCAGGTGTGATGTGTTAAGTAGGTAGTATTAACTCCTCAAAAACAAGCTGCTGTCATTTAGAAAGCGTACTTTCTGCAGGCCTAGCCAATTCAAATTATTATCTTAGCTACCAACATTAATTTTTTCCAGTATCTGGTATTGTTTAGGAACTTGGTTTTTAAAATACAGTTGCTCAAGAATACACAAAGACTTTAGCTGAAGACTGATACAATTCCACATTTTCCACAAACTTACCATGTCACTTTCCCCTGGTTTCACAGCATACTGACCTTTCAGTCCACTAGTTAAGCAAGTAAGGACAACAACTTTTACAACTTCCACATTAATAACTTTTTTATCTATAATTTTGTTGGAAAAACATGGAGTGACTTTGAAAAAAAGTTTAGGCATTTGAATTTTAAATGAAGGCAAAAAGCCTGGATGGCACATTAACCCCTAACATATTAGAAATATGACATGTAAAATTAAATATTTGCAGAAAAGAGTCAAATGAACCTATATTCGTGAATGTTTCAGTGTACGATCTGAGAAAATATTTCTGACAGAAAAGGAAGACTGAGCTCTAAATTTCAATGAAAGGAAGTAGAAAGATGTGAAACTCAGATGGCAGAATTTTCATTACAAATATTATCCAGTTCTTTCTTCTTTATATAAAAGACTTCATCAATTTTTCACCATCTCTCTGCAGGACTGAACAGGAATTTTTTGTCAGTGGGGTGAAAGGGTTCTACCCAACTCAGTGAGTATTTAAACTGTATGTCTGAACACACAAAGACTGTAGCTTATCTTTGGGTCAATGCTAGTGTAGCTAGACTGTCACACAGAAGCACTCTAAGAAACTTAATTCTGCATCTCATGTTCCCCACCACACCACTCTACAGCTATCAACAATTAACAAAGATCACTCATTTCTACAATCCTGAACACCAACAGCTCCAGCAGAGACACAATGCGCACCAAAGGAGACAAAAAGAATTGTTCTTTCCAAAGCGATTGAGAGGTGATAAAGAAGATGTCATTTGCCAAGCATATGACAAAACTGCCTAACAGTTCACTAAGCATCAGTTTAGACCTGGAAGAAGAAAACATACTGAAACTGGACATAAATAACGCATTCCCCAAATTGTTCTGGGCAGGTAACATCACCTTTGCAGATGCATCTTTGGGTATTGAACAGCTCCCACAAGTCCAGCTGGTTAGAGATTTACATGGTCCCAGTCCTACTCTGACTCTCCCTCTCTACAGGGGAGCAGCAGCACCCTTCCCCTCCCGTAGGCCTCCAGAGGAATCCTGTTTTCTAACCCTCGTAAAGAAGCACTTGGCTGGACTAACAGGGATTGTGGGATGATGCCCCTGAACAGGCCATGTACATTCACACAGACGCCAGAACAATACTGATGCAGTCAGCTACTAAACGCAACTAAGAGTCAGAAGTAGAAAGAGGAAGCCTATGGCTCCCATATATTGTGTTACAGGACACTTCTAACCTGCACCCAATCATTTACATTTCACCCTAAGCAAAGACACCAGATTCAAATCTTAAATAATTGGCTCCCAGTGGGAGCGAGAACCTTTCACTGCTCAGGGAGTTCCTTCACCTCCCACCCCTCCAGCCACCTGCATTTGTTGCCAGGCCAAGTTCAAACCAACTCTGAAGAAAAAGCAACCAAAAAAAACCCACCAAACAGAAAACCCACATCTTTTAACTGACTACCTAAAAGACCCAAGTTTTTCACTTCGGGAACCTATCCACTATGCCAACACAGCGGGTAAAAATACAACTTAAAACATCTGCCAATTGCTTTGGTGTACAGCTGCACAGACAGGGCTGACACAAGATAACCTTCACAACAACTGAGGAGCAGAGACTGGCATTGTTATACTTCCACACGTGTCAGCATAAGCAGAAGAAAACCAGCACATGCTAAACACATGCACAGCACTTCCTACCTTGCTCACAAGATTTTGTTCTCACCCTGTCGTAACTAGACTACGAGGGAAACCAGCTCCTAATACTTTCGTGAAAAGCAAACCAAAGGTTTCCGCAGACTTACCACCACTCCAAAGCTCAGGTCATTCATTTGTCATGAATGAAAGAGGAAAATAAGAAATTCCTTCCTACCCTGTCGCTGCTTACATGGAAACCCCAATTCCTAGTGCTTAAAAGTCCTCCTTTCACCATGTTTCAAAACCTAACGTACATCAGATTCTCTTTCGCAATACTGTTATTTTCATACAGCTATGAAGACTGAAAAAACTTAACTGCTGTAACTGGTCTGGTGCAGTTGCCCAAGGCAAGATCTACAAGCTCATTATAGAGACTGCTACTGGGTGCGTCGAGCTCCCCCAGCAAGATGAGGAAAGTTCTGTCCAAACAGCAGGAGCACTTACCAAGAAGATTCAAATCACCAAGGGCAGCACCCTTCTGCTTCAGCAGAAAATTTTTGTTTGGCAAGAGAAGATGGCATAGAAACATACAAAGCAATAACTGGAAAAAGGTTACGAAGTAAGTAAACCAAGAAACTGTCTGCAGTTTAGAAAAAAGGGTAGCTAACAGAAGGGATAAGGGGTTTGAGAACAAGGCAGAAGGAAAGAATGGTGAAGAACTCCCTAAATACAATAGCTTATTTTGAGAAAACTCTGGGTAGGAATTCACACTGCATCTACCTCTGATAACAAGCCAAGGCACTGCAGATCTGTTCAACACCCAGCAGAGATCTTCTGTGGTCAAGGAAGCAGAGAATGCACAAGACACTGGAAAACTATTAGAACCCCCACTACCCCCTTTCCAGAAACAGGGTGTTTCTTCCCATAAGCTGGCAAAAGCTGTAACAACAGAATACACAATGATTTGGTCTCATCAACTATTCTAAATAAGCCATTCCATATTCACCTCTACTGACTTTCTGATTAGTACTTCTCAAATTCAGCACAGCCATCCTAAGACAGCAGGAAATGGTCTCACACAAAAGGCAGGCAGGCAGGCATCCAAAAGGAAAAGTAATTTGGATAAATGCAGGCTGCTAGTTGTCGCGTGCTATGGAAATATCTGCAATTTTGGCAATAAATTATCAGAATTCCATGCATTTATGCAGTTCACCATACGTGAAGCCAGCTAACTGCATGCAGTGCCATACTCTCCTTGATACAAAAGTTCAGCGACTCAGCAACCTAATACAGATTCTCGAAGCCAAAACCCTTATAGGGCACGTTTTCTCTTGGGAAGTCTAGTTGTAAGTGTTGCTGCAAACATTATTCCAACTACCTTGTTAGTTCAGAAGCTCTCCTGTTATTTAACCAAAACCCATCCTCATTTATTTATGCCTTAGCACCATCCATTAACTATTCCTTCAAATGGCTAAGTAATCATGTTTCCTCCCTAAACCCTGACCACAGCAGCATCTTATTCCTGCTAGCCTACATTATGATTCCAAACACTGAACTGAAGGCATCTTAAAAAAAGAACAAATAAATATTTTATTTTCCTACTGTGTTCATTTGTTTCATGTGACAGATTTAGGAAGTCTTCTTGTCCTAGGTCTATTTCCTCAACTCCTTGAGCATTCAGTGAAAAAATAACTTTAAAGAGTTCTGTCTGGTGGCCAACAATACACACAATAACAGATGTCTTAATCATGTATGACATTTTATTTTCACCTACATTCCATAATAGAAATAGTTCTGCGAGCCATTTATCCTGAGATTTTGAAATGCTCGGAGCTAATAGGCAGCACCTGCCTTTCCCTGGTAAGTCTCTGAACTCTCCTTTGGTTTCGAAACATCACATTAATTCTTAAGTGAAAGGGGGAAGAGCAACCCTCAGAAATGCCACCCTGAAGATCCCATTTTCTTTAGACATAAAAAGGTCATGAAACAGGGAACACATTGCATCATCCCCACCCACTATTTGTCACAACCAATTTCTAGTCTTCCAAGAACTGCCTTCTCAAAAAATTCCTGCAATTCCGAGGACATTTTGCTCCCTTCTCTCCCACATCCAACATTTCTAGCAAATTATGCCCTTCTATTTTTATAGGTAAGTACAACTACAGCAGTGCCAGATGCAGTTCAACCTAGCACTAAATCAGGAAATGTGTTTAAAGCAACTGACTCTCGGAGCCGGGACAAGCCCAGAAGCCTGGCGAGGAACCCACACCTCTGAGCCACAAGAAGCACTTCCCACTGGCAGAAGCCCACACACCACTTGGCCTCACAAAGACATTACCACTTGCTTGTAAGCAAGAACACAACATTTCCTCCAAAGCTGTAATTTTATCTAGTCATCTGCTGATGGGGAGGGTTTTTAATGATGCGGATTCTGCAGGCTGTTCTGTGTGACATTAGCAAGATGATGTTTCCAGAAGAAAGGAAAATATTCAGGCATCCTGCTTACGCCACACTTACCAAGCTGCCTCAACAACCCACTTAAGCT